ATTTATCTCAGTCTACCTTCACTTCACCATACTTAATTCTGAATCTTTGACTTCACTTGCTTGATTGAAGAGAGATAGGAGCACCTCTTCTATGACGTCATATCACCGCCAATATTCATGTATATCATGCTTTCGACATTGAAGTTAAATAGGACATTCAGAACCTACATGCTTTCGACATTGAAGATAAATCTGACATTGAACATGCAGAACATTCAACATATTTTCGACATTTAACTCTCGACTTTTTACCCTCACCCACGACTTTTTACCCTCGTCCTCGACATTCAACACTCGACTAATAGATAAACTCTATTTTGAACGTTGAAGTTGTGATGAGTGCTAATTTGCGGCCAATTTGCGGCATGTTCAGTTCAATGTCCGGTTTAACTTCAAAGTCAAAAACACACATGGGTGTTCAATGTCAGATTTAACTTAAAGCATGTAGGTGTTGAATGTCCTATTTAACTTCAATGTCGAAAATATGTTGAATGTTCTGCATGTTCAATGTCAAATTTATCTTCAATGTCGAAAGCACGTAGGTGCTGAATGTCCTATTTTACTTATATTGGCGCCCCGTTGGCGGTGATATGACGCCATACTCCTCCAGTGATATAGACTATATTATAGCTCAGTGTTAATAACCCGCGAACAGGCAGCTTTTTCGCGCGAATTTTATGCCATGTTGACCAATGATGTTGACTGACAGTCTGCCATGTTGATTTCATAGTTGATTTGCAATTTTGTTGACATCGATCTGTATTCAAGTATTAAAATGGAAAGATCACATCGTTTATTTCTTCAATGTTTTATGGCAAAGCCATTTATGTCTGAACAAGATGCCAAAGATGCATATTCAAAGTGTATTGAAATATTTCAAGGTATGACAACCTTTATATCTAATATAAAAAATGTTTATACTAAATAGATTTGCTGCGGTTTATATAAACGAGGGTCGTTCGTTGGGAAGCTGGCGATGAAGGGCCTCCGCTCAAGACGTCAGTATAAGTTTTGTTTGGCTCAGACATCTGTCTGCCTGAGTACTTATAAATCTTGGGTATTAAAATGTGGGATACTAATTTATAGTATTTTATACCCAATTTACCCATATTTCAACCTATTTTAGCAATAAAATACTAGAGGTGTGCATCGGATCGGATTGGACGTTTATAATCCGACAATTGGCTAATGTTTAAAATCCAATCCGATCCAATATTGTCTAATCCGAATCCCATCCGATGCGAGTTTTGATAAAGAATTCCGATCCGAAGAATCCTTTAATGAAATAAATTTCTCATTCAAGTGGAAATATTTAACCAAATAAATATAAAAGCAAAAGCAAGAAACACATGTCAAGAAGCACACCTCTATAAAATACTGTATCCCAAAAGTACAATAAATACCAATATGCCTAAAACCCCTGACCCACACTGCATTTTCTGCACCGTGCGTGGAAGATCTTCTGTGCACATTTTTGATGCTTTCTATATATTTACTATTAAATTTTAGAAATCTCCGGCATGCAATTTCCAAACTTTGCAGTCTGGCCCGACCAGGCCTACGATCTGTTAGGCCATGGGAATGGGTCATTCCAGAAAAGATCCACACTCCCCCCACAGAGGAAATTTCTGCCGTCCGGAGGGGAGGGGAGGGGAGAGAAAATTGTTTCTGATAATTGTAAACGTATTAGGACAAACGAAGGGGGAGGGGGGTTAACTTCCAATTTCCTCCCTGGGGGTGGTATGGATGTTTTCTGGAATGACCCAATGAAAGTCATAGTTTTGCATCCGGTTAAATTTTCATTATTATTTTTTTGACCATTGTTTTGGTAGTAGATATAGAGATAAAAATACAAATTACCATTTACGCCGTGGAATTACATATATCATGAGCTCACTTGGTTGCAGCACTGAAGATCTGTGTGCCAATTTTGCCATTTTGGTAAATATAATTTGGAATTTCACAAGAATGTGGGGACTGATAACAAACATACTGCAATTTGATGCTTGTGATGTTACTCTGAGTGTAATATCCACACTGGGTAAGCTTGAAAAATATGCCTGTCCACAGTGGGAATCGAACCTACAACCTTTGGAATACCAGCCCAATGCTCTGCCAACTGAGCTATGCGGTCAGGTCGGTTCATGTATCCCTATTCAAGAATCCCATGTCTAGTTCCTTCGATATCAAATGTAATCTAATAATAACCCACCGTGGCCAGGCATATTTTTCAAGCTTGCCCGGTGTGGTCTGTGGATATTCACTCAAAGTAACATCACAAGCATCATATTCACCTGAGTATACTGCAATATGTTCATTTCATTGCTGCAGCAATCAATACATCATTTTATATTTGCTATTCATTGCTTGGAATTTTGATTTTTGCTTTGTGAAAATAATGACTTTTTTGTAAATAATGAAAATTCTACTAGGCGGTAGCTTTTGAAGCATGCAGGCGGTGCATGCATATATATTAGAATGCTGTTCTTAGGGTTAGTAATCCAAGTGAGTACGGTATATATACACTTTAAGACCTGACCAGGAACCGAGGAACGACTGCGAAAAATGCAGCACAAAGTCCTCTGGTAGGAATTGAACCTACCGCCCTGCGATTCCGGTGCAGCGCTCTGACCAACTGAGCTACAGGGGCCAGCTGTTGAGCTGTAACCGTAAGTTCATATATATATAGGTGATCGGGTGTGCGGGTTGGGTTTATTCCACCAAGTGAAGTGCAAGAAACAAGATCATTGAAGTCCGCCTTATCATGATCATTGAAGATCATTGAACCCGCACACCCGATCACCTATATATACATGAACTTATGGTTACAGCTCAACAGCTGGCCTCTGTAGCTCGGTTAGAGCGCTGCACTGGAATCGCAGGGCTGTAGGTTCAATTCCTACCGGAGGACCTTGTGCTGCATTTTTTGCCGTCGTTCCTGGTCAAGGTCTTAAAGTGTATATATACTCACTTGGATTCCACCAAGTGAAGTGCAAGAAACAAGATCACATGCAAATCTATGACTTCCATTCCCATGGCCTTATCATTGCTACCTCACTGGCACTAAACGTTTGAGATTATATCAACATTTTACTTAACATATTTCCTTCCAGGCAAAACTTTCTATTAACTGTAACCAAACCAGCTCCTAATCAAATTTGTAACCAAACCTGACTCTACCAGAAATAGTACATCCTATATTAGCTATTAGCATGGGTGGTAAAATTGCTCTGATCAAATGTTTACGGAAATTTAAAAAAAACCCAACCTTTTTAACTGTGTAAATTTCATTTCTATTTTGAGTATGTAATGCTTTCTTAACATTTCAATTAGTATCTGTCATTTGAAACCAAAGCCCCCCAACCCCCAGGAAAATGTGGGGATTTAACATCCAGGCCAAAGTGGGGAATTAACAATGTATTTGCCATGCACAGCAGTGAAACTAGGCTGTTGTGGTATATCGATATAGTCGATAAATATATAAATTTCAAAAATTATATCAATATTCTATTTTTTTCGAATACCGAAAAAATATTGAAAGTTTTATCGAAATTCTTTCCCGGTAAAATCTAGAAAACATGCGTGGGCAAGTGTTTATCACAAAAGATCACAACCGGACTACCCACACAAGCGGCAGTAGAATGCTTGAAAACAATAGCTGTGTGATGACTCATAAAGATGGAATGTGCACTTATTTGAATAATTGTAAATAGTAAATAACTCTTTTTAACATTCATAAAATGACCATAAATTGTGGTAAATAATAAACCTTTTGATATTCGATTAGTTTCACTCAAGTTGTTTTTTGCTGTTTTTGACGTGGTATACATTTACTTTGCTGTTTGTGATGCGGTGTATTGACTAATGAAACTACATTTCGTAATGTTGTATAAATTATTTTCAATGTAGCCAATATTTTCTATATTTTTGGAACCAATAATCATTATTAATATTTATATAACCAAGGACATTGATGGAATTCTACTGTATCCCGGACACAAGGTCAGGATTCTCAAGCCCCATTTCCACTCAGGAAAATTTTCTTTGGAAAGAAAGAGAGGAAATGGCCCTTCAGTATATAGTTGTAGTCAAATAAAGGCAAACATTGGCAAACCAATTGGTAGCCATAGTCAAAAGGGTCATTCCAAAAAAGATCCCCACTATCCCTACAGAGGAAATTTGTGCTGTCTGGAAAATCAACTTATCATAGTCAAGTGTACAATACTGGGATGTCCAATGTACTATAGGAGCAGTGTTGTAGTCAAGTCCATCAACCTACGAGTCCAAATCCTATACAGTACATTCAAGTCCAAGTCCCTCAGCAAAATTTCAAGTCTAGCATTTTCAAGTTTAAGTCTGAAATATTTTGAGTTCATGTCTGAGTCCAATTACAGTAAATAAAAAAGAATTTCTATTTTTTAAGTATATGAAAAAGAATTATTTTGACAAGCCTTCGGAGCTAATAGTTATTTCCATATGGCATTTGTGCAGAAGTCATTGATGATGTAATCAGAGTACTGTAATATATATGTGGCACACAGTCAGACTATAATGATAATACATTTGCAAATTTCATTAAAAGATACAGTGCAAAACAATATAAGGTACACAGTTTCATGTGTCTCAACGACTAGTTAACATAATAATAAATAATGTAAATAGTTTTGTTTTCAGGCCATGAAAGGCCCGTTTATTTAACCTCAGTGGCAAATACAGCCATTTCCACAGTCCACAATCCAAGACTAGAAAATATGTTGTACAGCAGGCATTCCTCATCTGTTTAAATATTTTTGCTATTTACTAGTATTTATGAGGCTATCAATATACCGCTGCCTTTTATTTTGCAATTCCTGTGTCGTGAATTGCCTCCTATATTCACAACAACTCACTAAAAGTAGAGATTTCAAACGCTTTTATGAAAAATATATTTATTCTCGCCCCGTCTCAACACAATCACACAAATTGTTGCAATGTACAAACCGCATGCTTTTTGATTGACACTTGCGCATTAATTAACTTCAGGTATGCCATAAACTGTTAAATATTAAATATTGACAATCTCCAACACTCTCCCCCCATTTATCTACTATTTGAGATAAATGTCGTCCAATACACCTGGAGATTGACCAATGATACAACTGTACTAAAATGTCAACCTTAGTATATTTCTAAATTGTTCTGACTGTTCACAGTTCAGTGTCCAAATGTTCACTTGAAATTAAGTCTATTGTTCATCCTCCGCGATCTCCTGAACACGCAATTTGGCCGCTAACTGCAGCATCCCGCTTCGGTCTAAATGTCTCCGCTTTCGGGTTGAGTATTGCCGGTACTGGTTCTTTCTTGTCAACCGAGAGCTCTAGTGGGTACAAATGCTGCACGGCACGCTCAATTTGAGACTTTTCTGTACGTACTTTGGCTCCCCTGATTTTTCCATCTTTTCCCACAATCAGTGCTTCGACAATTCCTAACGGCCAACGACCACGTTTTCTCTCGTCTGTTGCAATAATCACTACATCTCCTACCGTTGGCACTGCTCCACTACATTCTGCTTTCGAACGATGTCTCTCACGAAGGCTACGCAAATATTCCTGGGTCCACCGTCTCCAAAGCGCTTCTTTGCATTTCATCAAGTGTTTCGCTCGTTTTCTAAGGTCACCGTCCTCAATATTATATGGTTGCAATTCGGGTAAAATATTACTATTCAGAAACAACATCGAACTTGGCGTTAACACTGGAAATTGCACGTCATCCTCCACGTAAGATAATGGACGGTTATTTACCGCCACCTCGACATCAAGCAATACTTCCTCTAACTCGTTCCATCGCAGGAAACCGTTTCCAATGGTCTTGCTTAACGCTGCTTTCACGAGCGCAATCATCCTTTCGAATTGCCCGCTCCACGTAATCCAATGCAGAACTACCGAGCTGTCCGACCAACATTGAACTTTCGTAACCGGAAATCCGATCAATGCCTCCTTTACATTTGAAGCCAAGTTGACTGCCATATGCGCCGCTACCAGTTCAAGCCTCGGAATCGTTAATCCTCGCTTCGGTAGTCTTGATCTCGCCGCGACTAGGCCTTGGTTGGTCCCCGAATCTTGCTCAACTACGGCATAGACACACGCCGCAACCCCGTTACCGCTCGCATCTCGAAAGGAATGCAGTTGGATGGCTTCAATTGGCTCTTGATAAACTGCCAAAGATCTCTCAGGTTCCACTTGTACTGGAAGTTCACTGTTCCACTTGTTCCACAACACTGCGAGGGTTTCTGAAAGTGGTGCATCCCAGGCGTTCTTGGTGTCACATGCTGCACGGTAGATAAGTTTACCCGTAAGCGTTAAAGGAGATACGAAGCCCAAAGGGTCATATATCTTGGCGACCTTTGCCAAGACGCCCCGTTTGGCGAACACCGTCTTTTCAGTGGGCATTGTAACAGCGACTGTATCTCGTTCTTTATTCCACGCAAGTCCGAGCAAGCTACTATCTCCCCCTTCTGGGGTCCCTAACTGCTGTTTTGCATAGGTAGGATCACCGTCTTGAGACTGTCTCGTCTCTAATTCACGCTCATTCGAGTGCCATTTGTGAAGCTTAAACCCCGCATCCTCGAAAATAGTTGTTGCTTTCTCTTTAACTTCTTCCGTTTTCGATACTGATGTTGACCCCGTTATCAAATCGTCCACGTGTAACTCTCCACGCAGTTTTGCTACTACTTCCGGTTCTCTTTCTTCCCAGTTACTCAGGTGTGCATCAATGACTCCCCCCAACAAGAAAGGAGATGATACAAGCCCGAAAAGTGCCCTGGTAAATCTCAAGGTCTCTAGTTCTGATTGCTGATCTTTCCGCCAGTGAAATCGAAGCGCGTCTCGGTCGTTTTCGCGAATACGTACTTGCAAAAAGGCCTTTTGCAAGTCACCCATCAGAGCTATTGGATGAAACTGTCCTCTAACTAACACATCCCACATTCTATTTTGCAATGGAGGTCCCGGATGTAGACACTCATTCAGCGATGGAACACCGTCATGTGCTTTTGCAGAAGCGTCATAGACGACTCGGATTTTTGTGGATTCCGCATCAGGTCGAATAACTGCTTTGTGTGGGATGTAAAATTCTCTTCCTACGCTCCGCAGTTCAGCTTTCTCAATTATCCCCTCTGCCTTTTGTTCCTCCATTATCTCCCCGTACTTGGTTGTCAAACCTTGCCGCTCGAGTCTGTTCGTTAAACTTGCTAATCGTCGCAAACTATTAGCTTCGTTGTTGGGTAATACAGGATGGTTGCCGCGCCACGGTAGCCCTGTTTCGTACCAACCAGCTGGGTCCCGGGTGAGTCGTTCTTTGAACTCGTCAAATACACTGTGCTGGTCGTTGGTGGGTGTATCTTTCAAACCCAAGACATCCAGGCGACACAGTTCTTCGTAATCAGCCTGGGATGTCTGAGTCATAAGCATATTGGTCACGTCGCAGGATTCTTTTCCAGGGGACATGATGGTCCATCCAAACTGTGTCAACTCAGCTACCGGTTGCCCCGATTTACCAACTCTGGGTGGCTGATCAGTTTTCAACATTGCGTAGTCACTTGCTCCGAGAATGATGTGCACCGGAAGTCGCTCTTTCTGATCAATGTCTTCCATGATGACTCCTTTCAAGTGTGGGTTTTGCTCTATCATGTTCTGATATCTCGAATTGTCTATGTACAGAAGTTCTCCTTTGTTCACCTTGGTGACTTCGACTTTCATAGAAAATTTACCCGATGTTCCCTTGATTTCAATGGTTGACAATTTAGGCCGTATTCTGTGGCCAATTATCGTTCAGTTCCGCTGCCCCCATTCGGGACCTACTTTTAGTTTACATAAATCTATAGTTTTTGATACGCTGAGTACGAATTCACTTGTTGTCACTCGCACAGACCCGCAGTTTTTTTGTATTTTACGATCAAACATCAACATTTTTTATTAAAATTTCCGCCATTTTGTTCAGGAAACTTCATGTTATATACAGTTATTGTACTAGTCCAAGTCTCCTAGCAGGGGGGTTGCACGCGGTATTACGCAGTTTGTTATCATTCCTCTGAGAAAAATATACAGAAATAAAACAAAAATATAGATATTTTTCCACAATATGAATGCAAAAGGTACTGCTACATGTTTGTAAATACTTAGGAATTAATCTATTATTCTTTATTGCATCAACTTTTGTTTTTTTTTGGCTCTTCATGATGTGAAATTGCAAAGACTGTCACTATATCCATAAAGACGAGAACTTGTCATTGGTAAAGTTGTTTATTTTATTTATTACTGAAATTATGTACATAATTTTGGCCTTGCAATGTGAATAGGCAATTTTTGTCAACAATGAATAAGGAGCACAATATATTTGTTTAATAAATGTTAGAACTATTTGTAGACCATTGCTCATTAATTTTATAGCCTAGTAGCAGTTTACCTCAATAAAAATAACTCATCTACTGATTTAATAAATCTGCACATAATTAGTTCCATTTTCTTGTTTTATAATAACATTTTTGCTATTATGTGACATTGAGCTTTATAAATAAAAACTTTTGGAAGATGGCTTTCACTACGACAGATAGCCTACTTTTGGTCTGTTTATATTGGGTTAACCCAACCTAGATTAGCTATATTTCTTTAATTACTTTATTGTTATTTAAGTATTTACATTAGCAAATGGTGGTTGCACAGGACATAGCCCAAATTATTACAGCTACCATATAACAACCTAGCTTGGTTATTCAATTTATGTGAGACTGTTGAGGGAAGCATGGGCTTGCTGGAACAAAGCAGCTAAGCGAACAACTATATTCACACAAGCAAATCCCAAAGTCATGCCATCTAGAAACATTAATTGATCAAGCCATTTGAGGTTTAAATGTGTAAAAAAATATTAAATACAACATATTGTCATGATCCATCGTCACCTTAGCTCTAATCCTATTTGAGCTGCCATTAATTACCAACTGAACTACTGGAGATTCAGGGATATTTTATATTTGACCAGGCAGACAATAGAAATTTAAAGTAATTTGGCATCACTACCTACCAATATGCGCCTTGGGCTGGCC